AAAAAAGTCCGTGCGTCTGTGTATTTTAAAATAAAATAAAAAATTAAAGCAAATTAATTAAGATTAAATAATTGTTAGCGGTTAATAATAAAAAAATTTAAGTAGTTATAAAAAATAAAATATAATATAATATATATCAAAGTTATAAAAGCAAAATCCTCTAAAATTATATATATTAGAAAAGAGATATTCATTTTATTGTACATTAAAACGATATTCATTTTACTTGGATTATGACTAATGAAATCACGTGCATAGTATTTGAATTTTTTTTAAGGTATGACATGCATACAACATAAATATACTTTTTTGTATGTTTCTCTTTTATTTTTTATTTTTTATTTCAAAGATAGTTAATTGCTTAAACTAAAACATACCTAAAAAGATATAGTAAAAAAAGTTTGCAAGTCGAGAAAAGTAAACCTAAATTGGGAGAGTATCAAACACATACATTTTCTCTAATAAAGTAAGATCTATTATATCAAAATAATCTATCACCTGAATAATTTCTTTAAGAACATGAACATAATCAATGATATGATTGTTTTTTGCCACTTGAACCACAATTGTAGCAAAGGTGATTCTAAAGATAACCTTCAGGTATTTATTAGTTAGAGTTAAATCCGACTTTGTTAAAATATTTTTCAAAATGTTTTTATCTCTAATGAGTTTCAAGCCATTATGTTAAATAAGAAAGACACAACTAATAATGTTATACGAATTGTTTTGTTGTTGAATATGTATTATTATTCTTTATTCATCAATAGAAAAAAATTTATAACTATGGTAATGAAATAAAAAGTAGGTTAAAATATTTTTATTAATCTTTATAGTTTCAGTTATTTTACATTTTAGTCTTTATAATTTAAGATTATTTTTTTTAATCCTTATACTTATTTTTTTTTAATCTTTTTTTGACCTTATAGTTTAAGATATTTTTTTTAGTTTATATACTTGTAGTTTTTATTTTTTTTATTTTTTTAGTCCTTATCATCAATTTTTCTTTGTAACTTTGTTTGTTTTGTGTTGAAATGGTAGAGGGTTTTCAATTTTGTGAAGGTAGAAAAAGGTGTCTCAATAATGAAGATCATAGACGAGAATGTTAGAGAGATATAAAATGTCGAGAGATTTAAGAGTGTATTAGATTAAAATTTCAAGAGTTTAAAAGAATTTTTTATTATAAAAAAGTCTTATATTATTCAATCAAGACTTTTTCTAATATAAAAAAGTCATGTGGTATTCAATTAAATCAATCATGATTTTTTTAAAAGTCCATCAAAATCTTGTGGCATTCAAATTTTTTTTTTCACTTAAAAAAAGTTGTTTAATATTCAAAAATATATATAGAAATTTTAATGAATTATTTTGAATAATAAATTTTGTGAGACTTTTTAGTAAAATTTACATATAATTCAATTATCCAATAATTTCACCAAAACTTTTAAGATTTTGCATGACATTTTTTCCTTATATTTTTCCTTTTTCTTTATTTTTTTCTCTCTCTTTTGAATCTTTTCTCTCATCTTTCTTGTTTCTCTCTTTCCTCTTCTCTTCCCTATCTTAACTTCTCTTCTATCTCTCTTATTTTCTTTTCTATCTCATTTCCTCTTTCTCTTTTTATTCATATCTATCATTTATCCTCTCCAAGGTTTTGCAGGTCATGGTAATGATACTTTTAAATCACACATCACAATTTTTAAGTCAACACCTTCATTTCTATTTAAGACACAAGATGAACTAGTATTAGCATGTGTAATGCTATATAACTTTCTTTGCAAAAAAATGTCATTATGATGAATTTTCAATTGAATTAGTAAATAAATTTTCATTTTTAATGCTACTAGTTAATGAAGACCATAATTTTGAACATATTGTTAAGACTCAAAAACATGAAAGAAAATATGTCAATGTATAGAAGATTAGTGTAACTTTAGATATGTGGAGAAACGTTAGTTACGAGGATATTAGAGTCAATTAATTATATAAAAAAAAAGATAATTATTTGTCAAAAGATAGAACAAATTGTGTTAGTTATTTTACTTTTCTTTATTATTTGTTATAATTTTTTTTATTAGTTCTTGTAGCATTAAATGTGTTTTACAAATCCATATATTTTTTTGTGAAATCCTTTAAAATTTAATGATAAAAATCTATCATAATCCATTAAAATCTATTAAAATTTGAACTATAAAGTCTTGATTAAAATTCATGTTTTAAAAGTCTTTTAAAAAATATCTTAAAAATCATGACGTTCCTTCAAACTCTTTTAAAATTCGTTAAAATTTACAAGATTTTTTCATGCTATAATAGTCTTTCAAAATCCTGATTCAATACACCTCCCCTAATTTAGAGTAATTCCAACATAATAAATTTGACATTAACATACAAAGTTGATATGGACTAAAAAGATATCCTTAAACTATATGGACTAAAAAAGATTGAAAAAGATAAGTATAGAGACTAAAAAAAATTATTTTAAATTATATAAACTAAAATTTAAAATAAATTAACCTATAAGAACTAAAAAAGTATTTTAAAAAATAAGTCTCTATGTATCTATTTTAATCACCAACTACCAAAATGACCATAATAATTTTTTTATTAGTTCTATAATAATTGTGTGTGTTTGTGTGTGTATATATATATATTATATATATATATATATATATATAATTATATAAATTTTATGTTTTTATTAGTATTAAATTATTATAAAGTATATTTTTAGGATTGTAGTTCTAACTGAACATTTAAAAAATGTTCATGATAGATAAATAAGTCATATTTAGAACATGTATTTTTTTTATAAAAAATTAGGTTCAAATCTACTAAATTATAATACAACATAGTCTGACCTAGTTTATTTTCATCCTTAATCGTAATCGTAGATCTAAAAACTTGTAAAAAATAATTATGATATATATTTATATTTTTAAGAGTTATATGTAAAAAATTTAATACTATAAATATTGTCTCTACTATTTAAAATTTCTAAATCCGTAATTATATATATATATATATATATATATATAAAGGAGGGGTCCATTTATTCTATGAATTAGTCTACCTAAACTTATCGCATTCAATAATTTATGTTTTATATCAAATTTGAATAATCAAACTATTGAAATTAAAATTTTTAATGCATAGATTATGTTTACAAATTTTTAAAAAAATTGAAAGTCATTTGATATTTTGTTTCATTAATTCAAATTGACGAATGATCATAAAAATATTTTATATGCTAATTTGAATTAATGAATTGAAGTATCAAATAATTTTCAAAATTCTTAAAAAATTTACAAACTTAATCTATGCATTAAAAACGTTAAATTCAATGATTAAATCATTGAAATTTAATATAAAACATAAATTATTGAATTAAACTTACTTTTGAAGTAAATAGATGTCTCCTCGTATATATATATATATATAATGTATAAAATTAGTTCATAAAAGATTACGTTATATATTATGAAAATGAGAATACTGAATTTTAACTTTTAAATTAAGATATATTATTTGATTTATAAAAAAAATGTCACTCAAAATCGCAACTACAATCATCACCATCATTTACTAAAGGTGGTGTTCATGAGTATCACTGCCCATAAACATAAATCTACCCGACCCACATATTTTACTTCAGGATCTTAGATTTTAAAGTTGAACTAAATATTTAACTCAAATAATTTATATAAATTATATTTTAAATTATAAAAAAATTATATTATGATAAAATATTATTTTTATATTTAAGTTAAAAAACAAATACAAAATGAATAGATTAAAAGAGATAAAAAAAACTCTTAAAAACTTTCTTTTGAATTTTTTTTTTAAAATGATTATGTTGAATAAATATGCCTAAAATTATTACAGTTCATCATAACTATTTTCTTCTATATATTAGTGATAAAGTTGGGATATTATATGGGAAGTCTTAGATTTTAACTTTTATCGTCATTGTTATTTGTATTGATAATATATATATATATATATATATATATATA